ACTGTGACTCCCGTGCTCCAAAACTGATAAGCCTTATTAAGCCCCACACCTTGCATAAGCCGTACCGTGGCTTCCACTGACTAGTTCAGGCGATATCACGTGACTCGGCGTCAGATGCTGGACCCAAGGCCGCGTGTAACTCTGCACCGGGGCGGCCGGCAGGCTTCGGGTCGGCAAAGCCGGGTCGACTGGCACCATTCGGCGCCAAGAAGAACGTTATGGACTCTTTGTAGCGGCGCTGCCGCCACGCCGGCCGGGGATGCGCCGCCGCCGCCGCCTGCCGGGTAGACCGGCCCGGTGTCGCTGCCCCCTGGCGGTAGCTCTCGGGATCCGGCGCGGCAGAGGCGGCGCCGCTGGTGACCGTTCGGTTAAACGACGCTCGGCTCTGTTGCTTTGTGACGATGACTGTTACGCGGCTATTTTTCCTACTGTATGAACGTTGAATTGGCTAGGTGTGTGCTGAGACACTATTTTTGTGAGCTGTTGGTGGAAACGTTATCTGATGATGGACGGCTACCATTAGCGGATTGTGAAAGCCGACCGATTTCCTTGTTTCGGCGACCGTTGGGAGCCCATCGCCTGTGATGGTTGCGGTGAAATATCTGAGCACTCATAACCCTCGTGACAACTGCACCGAGACATCCTACGTCGGGGTACCCCGATTCTCAAATATTGTTGTTGCTGTCACCAGGTTAGAGACCACCTTTTGTCGACGGCAAGCTTGGTTCCGTATTTGTTGTGTTGTCTGGAATTATATTTCCCGTATTATTTGCATGAAGCCATTATTTTGTGGCTCCGTCTACCATCTCATTGTCATAATTAACGGGTGCGTGCGTAGGCATACTTGTGGTTTAAGAAACAATCATGCAGGGTGTAGAGTGCAATTTTGTTACGACCAATTTACTCTGTACAGGGTGGTTGTAACTGGTATTTTCTCGCTGATTTCATTACAAATTAATGGTACAATGGCGTGTATTTTAAGTCTATTAGCCATGGACCTGCCGGTGAGGGCGTTGTGAGGCCGTTTGCCAAGTTTGCAGTGCCTCGCGGCCCAGCATATGCCCCAGAGGCGCGCGGCCGGAGCTGGCCGCCACCCCAGGTCCTGGAGAGGAGCAGTGAGGGGCCGGCCGAGGGGCGGTTGAGACGTCCTTGGAGCGTCGCAGAGCTGTGATGCTTAGTGCCATGTGTTAAGTGCTTATCATTTTTTTCGTTTTTTAAATCCGTTATCTGGAGGGAGTGATTAAAACAATCTTCGTTCATCCCCCTGTTCTTCACATGAGCACAGACGTATGCTTCCGAATCCGATTCCCGAAGGTGTGGAGCAGAGCAAACTTGGTTCACCCACGCGCTCCTCACAAGACCGCAATCACAACTGAAGTTGAGTTCGGAAGATTTCCATGGAAAGGTATGTAAATGTATTGTCACGCATGCGCGCACGCCACCGCGCCTGTTCATCCCCTAGCCTTGGTGCACCGGTAGATGCCTGGCGGCTAGTCTCGTCCCCATTGGCAGATTGGTAGACAGAGACTGGACGCTGGGCCGCCAGCAGACAGAGACTGGACGCTGGGCCGCCAGTAGACAGAGACTGGACGCTGGGCCGCCAGCAGACAGAGACTGGACGCTGGGCCGCCAGCAGACAGAGACTGGACGCTGGGCCGCCAGTAGACAGAGACTGGACGCTGGGCCGCCAGCAGACAGAGACTGGACGCTGGGCCGCCAGTCTCATCCCGTTCGGCGGATGATGGCCGCAGGACATCGCACCTCGGTGGGGGGTCGCAAGGGACGCGTCACTGCCGCTTGTACACCCTCGTGCAAACGACGTCATCGCAGGATACCGTCTGAAACAGTGCAGGAGACATTCGAGGTGTCACCAGTTGTCGTCATCTCAAAACCCAAAACGTGAAGCGACGCATACCTGACTGACGCATACTGACCATACCTGACCGGAGAACGGCGAGTCAGGCAGCCAATTGTCCACGGAATGCAACATACAGAACATGGACCTTAACAACAGCTGTTGGAAGAGGGGAGGGGACCAAAGGAAACCAGAGTTTTAGATGGTCCAGGTCTTTGATAGGGCTGCAATATTTGCACGCGTTTATTGCAGCGTTCCTCACAGAAATAAAGCTTCAACTACGGAACACATGAGTGCACATATGACCAGAGAACGCAGAACGCAACGAGAACGTTCGCGGGCTCAGGTGAGGCGGCACACCCACCATCTCGATGGCGTCGTCGGTGAATTTCCGCACCAGCGTCGACACCTTGCCGCCTCCGGTCTGTTTCTCGGTCAGCGTGTCCCCGTCCTTGGTCACCACGCTCTGCGGGCAGGGACGGGGAGCTGTCGACGCTGGTAAGGCCCGCGGGGGCGATGGAGGCGGCAGTACACGACTCCTGATGCTCTCCTGGTGCATGTGTGCGCACGCGGCAGCGAGGACTCGAGTCTTTTCATCGATGTTTAGGCGATACTAGATCGGGAGCACCAAAAATGGTCGGGATCGATTTTCAATATCGATTTTCGATGATTTTCGATCGATGGTGCCTTTCGATGCTCGAATGGGGCTTACGAAATAGTATGCATTTGGAGAAGGTGCAGGCTGTTCACTTTAAGCTGAAATGAAGCAGGCAGCCGTTGGTTCCATATGATACTTCTGCAGTGATAGCCATTCTACGCTAGTGCGCACACTCTGGATTCGTCCACGCGTCTCCTGCCGCGATAGCACAGGTCGCAGTGGCAACTGGCCGTCGTCGATGTGTCGCCCCGCCTGGCGGGACGGACCGAGATAAGCGGCGGCATTAGGCAGGCGAGATCTGGACTTTGTACCTTTGAACCGGGCTATTGAACTTGTCTGTTTTGTGGCGTCTGACCTAGCGCAATAATACGGCCAGTGAGAACGTCCAGCGTAGCTTGCGTCGAATGGAGCTGATTCTGATGGTGAAGAGTTTAGAGCAAGTGAAGAAACATGCATCTCGTGTGTTTATTTTTGTTGAAATAGCTCCGCTTGATCCTCTTCACTGATGACGTGGCATTGCGCTCATAGCTGTTTTCAAATGATGGTGGCTGGAGATACGAAGAGATATGTGGGGACTTCTGAGGAGATATGTGGGGACTTTTGAACCACATCAACATGTCTGGGCATTAACATGAGGACCTCAAACTGATACATCCATACACATCACTGCGCACCATGCGTGCATTTCATATCGACCAGTGTTGATTTAACCCCGCCGCACCCTTAGCAATAACAACGCCTCCGGCTGTTCCAAGAATGAGAGCTCCGGTCCAACTCGGACGACGACGAGCGATTTTGTTGAGACGAGCGGCCGCCGTTTAAACACGTGGCGATGACGCGCGGGGCCGCACACGGCGCCGCCGCCGGCCGGCCCACAAACATACCTGTCCGCCGTGTATTTACAGTGGGTGCCCGCGAACTCGGACCGGCAGCTATAGAGCCGATGGTCGTGCGGTCCCGGGCCAACGTATCGTGAAATTAGACTGCCGCTATGCAGCTGCGGACCCGTTGCCAGGCCGTCGCACGCTCTGGTTGTGAGCTGTATACATGGTTGGCCTTTCGCACATGGGATGTCCTAGGGACTGCTTAGCCGGTATTCGGCCAAATACATTCAATGCGTCAGGCTTATTTTGTTTTGTTGATTGCATTTGACCGAATGTTATCGTTGACCATGTGTCTTTGCCGCCGTATCAAAAAGCTGAAATGCTCAGGCCGAGCGGTAACTTGCCAGCTTGCCTTTTTGCCGATATTGACGAAATGTTTGTGAGTCAAAATACATATTTACTGAATGCCAACTTATCCAAATGCTCCTTAGTCTGATACTAGTTGCCGGAGCACTCTTTAGTTGAATGCTCATCTTCGCATATGCTGTTCAGTCAAATGTTGATAAGCTGAATCGTTATTTAGTCGAAAACTAATAAGCTGAAAAATCGTCTAGCCTTTCAGAATTTTCGGAGCCGTGTTTTCAACGGATGTTGATTTGCTGCAATCCTCTTATTCAAATGCTAATTAGCGGAATGTGCTTAAGCCGAATGCCTAAGCATCAAAATTATCTCAATAGGCTCTTTTTGTGGGCGGTTTTCACTGTCGCCTTACGAGAAGAGGCCTCAGCAGCTCACCTCAAGATTTCGAAAACCCAACAAGCTGGAACTACCGAAAAGGCAGCGATGGAAAGGACTAGTCAAGCTGTATCATATAGATGTGAAGGAATAATAGTGAATGCGCCTTTTCATGGCTTAAATTAGGTCCAACATAATTTTAGTACAAGAACTGAGCACATTACAGCACGGGAAACGGCATTGAATATATTTAAAAATCTCTATAGGATGGGCATCGACAGATCTGCCCTGTATGGTGTCATGTCAGGCTAGAGGGATCAAAGTTTTTGTTCCGGTTGGAGGCCATTGTTTCATTGACCCGCCAAGCTGTATGAAGAACCCCAATAACGCAAACCTAACAGAATAAATCATCGTCCCTAAGACTGTTGCTTACGCCCCACCAAGCTTTGTCGTTCTTTCATGAGTAGTTCATGGGCCGCCCAATACGGTCTGCGGTCGTTATTGCTTGATATAATTATGAACTGTGCAATTCACGCTTCGGCAAATGAATTCAGCTAATCGGCCATTCAGCAAATTTTTCGTTCGTTTATTGCCGTTCGTCAAAATCACATTTCGACAAAAAGGTTATTTCACAGTTCGGTGATTTTCCATTCGCGTAATTGCCATTCGTCAAAGTCCCATTTTGGCATATTGACATTCAACTGTTCCGGCTAACTTATTGTCGGCTAATCAGCATTTCAACCTTCGACTAATGCACATTTCGACAACTTTCACCTCGTTAAAAACGAATCGTCGATATGGTTTTCGCTTTTTAGCCGTTCGCTTTCTTGGCATGGCGGCAAACGGCGTGTTAGCAGAAGGCATTCAAGTTTTCACATTTGGTGAAAAGCATGAGGCTAAACACCAATCGGAACTTAGGACTGGAACCTGTTGCCACGCATTACGAGGTCTGGGTTATGAGCATCGCGGAGTCCAAATACCTCAGGGATGGGAGCCGAGAACGAAGCTTTTGCTGTCACCATTATTTTAATGTTACGGGCTCATTCGCGTCAATGATTAAGTTCTTTTTCCAAGCTACTATGCGGCATGCATTATTTACTGAACTGGAATCCGTCAACTTTACGTGACGTGATGACGAGGACTCTCGGCCGCTGGGGCGCTGACAATCTCAGTGGCTGCTGCAACTGTTCGAGAATGGCTTGACCACTTTGGGATCATTTTTGGCCGGGATTTTTGTTAGGCTTGGGCTGATGAATAAAGCACCCAACATGTGCTAAAGTTTGGGATTACATTTCCGATACATAGATGCGTCTACTGAAACCAACAGCTGATCAGTATTTCATTTTTGTATGCATCCATGGATGTACACTGAACATAAATTGCACTCGGTATTTATTCATTTCCATCCCCTTATTCATCTTGCGTGGGCACTTAATAGGGGCCTTCATGGGCGAAATTTCCTTAACCAATCCAGCTGCAACCCATGGGGCTGTGTTCATGCCCACACGCTGCCCATTCTTTTTTGTCGATAATCGCAAAACTGTATGTGAATGGAGCTAACTATGAATAAAGAAGCGCAATTGGTAACATTGCGTAGCAGTCTTTGAAGCATAGAACCGACATTTTGTCAAGATCTGACCCTTGCCCATAGCCAGATACGTAATTTTCTCGATGAGCACCTAACCCAAGCCTATGTCCATTTGGGTGGTCATTTCAAATGGTACCACTTGTTGCTTTACCCAGCCTGTGGAGTACTCTGGAACCTATCAGGTCCTCTCTGCAGCTGTTTCGGTGTCAGCTGCGTCACTATAGCGCGGCTCAGTTCGCCACGGCTGCAGCCATGATCGAGAATGACACTTGACAGAAAATGGCACAATGACACCTCGAACAACGCGTGTCAACCCAGCGTTCAGGCGTGGGGCGAGACAGAGGACAGTCCTCCCGGTCCACCGACAGCCCACTGACCGTGAGACGGTCCTCCCGGTCCACCGACAGCCCACTGACCGTGAGACGGTCCTCCCGGTCCACCGACAGCCCACTGACCGTGAGACGGTCCTCCCGGTCCACCGACAGCCCACTGACCGTGAGACAGTCCTCCCGGTCCACCGACAGCCCACTGACCGTGAGACAGTCCTCCCGGTCCACCGACAGCCCACTGACCGTGACCTTCCTGCCGTCGGGCGTGGTCATCTCCTGCTCGGCGCCGATGTCGAACTCCTGCTCGTGCGTCTTGAACGAGGTGACCTGGCGCAGCTTCCAGTGGATGCCGTCGGTGGTGACGGTGATGACCGGCGTGGCCGCGTTCGCCGCCTTCCTTGTGATGAGGCCGACCCCTGCATGTGGATGGCCACGTGAGATGACCACACCAGTGGTTTGTAAGAGGAACGCCACGCGCGCTGCCGCACATCCTTTTACGAAGTATCCGCGGCTGCAGTGGTCGTAATAACACCCGGAAGCTATGGCACAGGGGATGTTGGAACCCAGGACCTAACGTGGGTGCCGAACGCGCTAACCAGCCGGCCTTTACGCTCAATATCTTGCAGCGTCTGACCTCGGTATATCGTGGAGCTTCGGGTCAGATCAGGTCAGAATGCGCTCGTCGGCCAGCGCCAGAGGATAAGTTTGAACTGAACACATGCTGCAGACATGGGCGCGTCTTGGGTCCGCACTCTGGGTCAGTCGGAGGTTTCGGTCTGTTTTAGTCTAGCGGCCGGGTGACCCGGTGTGACGGTCTGCTGGTCGGCAGCCAGTCTGTCCCATGATGAAGCCGCCGTCTCCGTTTTCGGTGCGTTGCCGCGGCACACGCCCGGCTGCAGGCACAACTCGGGAGACGAGAGCCGGGTCCGAGAGAAACGGAGCAAACCAACTATGTTCAGCAGTTGGGTCCTTGTGGTCCAGTGGGGTTTTAGGGCGCGCCGACAACCGAGGTCATTTTGCGCCCAAAATGAGGTCGTGAGGTCAGCAGTTGTGTCCATTGCAAATGCAACTTCTTTGGTTAAGTGCATTGCCCTGCACGGGAATACACCTACCTTTATCGAAGGGAACTATTGTGAGATATGCTCCACCCTTGGTTATTTGTGACAACACAACAGCGTCCGTGTTACGTCGAAAAGGACCGCGGGCCGTATGCCTACGAGGTTGAAGTATTGGAGAAGAATCAGAAGATGTTGACAAGTGAGCACAATGAGTCAAGTCATGCAGCCAATTGTCTGTGGGAACTCCGGCACAGTTCCGGATCAACGCAGACAGCCGCCCAAAATGAGCTCGCATTCCGGCCGTCGTCGCCTCCGCCGGTCGCCGCCACTCACCCATGGCCTTCATCACCTCGTCGAACTTGTCGGACGACGCCAGCTTGTACTCGCCGTTGTAGGTGACCATGGTGGCGGGGGCGCGGGGCGTGCTGCGTGCGGCGTGCTGCGTGGAAGAGTGAGGCGCCCCGGCCGGCCGGCTGCCCACCCCCTCCCCTCCCCGCCCGATAAGGTAAGCACGGCGGCGGCGGCGCAGGGCGAAGTCCAGATGCGGCGCGACCATGTACAGCGCCGCACATACACCCTTCGCTCTCGGCGCCGGCTGTGATGACACCCAGTCGGTGCTTACAGACGCAGACGTGTTGGCGTGAGTCGGAGCAGCGCGCCGGCTCGTCTCGCGGTGCATTCGGCCGTCAGGTGGGGGGGGGGGGGGGGGGCGGAGGCACACTATGCCGCCGCCTCACTTCGACTCGCTAATTTTTGGGCGAATAGTATGTCAGGGTTTCGAAAAAGCCGAACTGTTATCGGTACTTTCACTACTTGTATACACATCAACAAGCCGAATGTGGATTTCCAAAAAGCTTGCACACCAGTGGTAGCACGCCACATGAGGTCGCACCTGATCGTAATTAGGGGTCATGTGAGGTCACACCTGGTCATATTCAGAGGTCACGTGAGATCGCACCTGATATAATAAGGGGCCATGTGAGCTCATACCTGAAAATAATCAGAGGTCATGTGAGGTCTCACCTGACACTAATAATTATTGGCTACGTGAGGTTAAATTACAAATATTGAGCAAAACTAATTTGTAAAAACAAAACAAAGCAAAACTGTAATTTGTTGTGCCCATTTGTGATAAATGAGTGCCTGTAGCTAGCGCAAAGCCCTCTATTGGCTTCATCATGCTTGCACTGTGCACCAGACTGTCCGAAAATTAGATCCGATGAGGTGACCTGACCTTCAGCCCATGACCTTCACCTGACATGACCTTGGCCAGCAGCGTAGTTTTGCAAAATGAGTTGGAGGGTACTGAACAGTGAAAAATGATCCAACATGGCCCCAAAAGTATGCCAACAAGCAGGATTCTCCCCCGATTTCGCCCACTTTCTCCCCAAAGTTGGGGGACTGAAGTCCCCAACTAAACAGAAAACTATACCCATAACCTTGATCCGAACTGGTCTTGTTCCTTGACCTCTATCTTGACCATCATCCGCATATGATGGTATGCAGATGATGACGTGACGGTATGAGGTCGATGATACGATTGTATGATGGACACGCACAAAACTGTACCACTAATATTGCAAGTGATAGAGGGTCCTCTGGTCGTTCAAAGCATTTGCTGGTTTTCCAATGGAAAACACTAAGCACTGGATGAAAACGCTGTTGTTTTCGTAAAGATCAGTCCCAGTAATCTACAGGCAGCAGTAATCAAACAACCAGGAATGTTCTACAAGGAGATTCAAACCAACTACAGCTTTCCAGTGACATGCAGGACACTCCTGGACAACCCAGGAGCCTTGCTCCTGGGTTGTCCAGGTGTCACGTTTACACGCGCTCGGGTGAGTGGTCAGTTTGAACCCCCAAAGGTTTTCCGGAATAATTTCCCAACGGCGCAGCGCAGCCGCGTCAAATCTTGCATAGGTGTAGACAGTTGAATCGTGGATCGTTTAGTTTCGCACATTTTGATGCATCTAGTGGGGTTGCTGGCCTACGGCAAGTCAGTCAGGCCAGGGATTCAGCGAAGGCAATCTCTAGGGATTCGTTTAATCTGATGCAGCAACGGTGTGTTACACGAAGCCATACTTCCTTGAGATGTCTTCTTAGGCAACACAGCAATTGAATCAACACACTCCATTGACCTAGCGTCAGGTATGAGGGTCAGACTAGGTTAAAAAAACTTGCTTTATTATTCTAGGGCTTGATGTTTGAGGTAGTTTCTGGTGTTCACTGCGAATTCATTGATAACAGGAACAGCATTATTATCTTCCATGAGCTTTTTAAAGGTCAGAATAGGTTACTGACCCAAAATGACCCTGGTCAAAATTTCGTTTTTAGGAGCATGCTGCATGGCCTAATCTTCGTTGCTTATTGAAATGCAAAACTCAAAGCAGTCGTGTACGATTTTGGTCACCATGACCTTCGAAAAGTCATGGTAACCAAAATAACCTAGGCCACTAATCTCAAGTGGGCGTGCGACGTTTTGCTTAGGCAGGTCTATAGGTTCTGGGGACACGTTGGAGACCAGCCTGAAGTTTGACCTCGTTTGACCTTATTTAACCTGAAGTTAATTGTCTAGGAACCCCAAGCTTCGGCCTAAATGAGCCCACGTAGAAGCGAAAGCACTGTGAATTTGGCGTCCCTAATCTCCTAATTCCTGAGATCTCAGGGGGGTAAAATTGACCCTATCCAGCGAAGGGTATCCAAGGTATCCAAAGGTATCCGAAGGGTAGCGAAGCGGCCACCCTGGCGCGTGTTAAGCTGCACTGGTTGAATAAATTGTTATAGTCTGGCACTTTTACCATGGCACAAAACGCAAGAAGTGTCTATCTGGTGGGCTTATGTTGGATATCGAATGTGTATATCTTGATTTCTAGACGCCACAGTTTTCGATGCACGGGCTTACGAGTGCAGTGGCACAAGCATCTGTACCTGGGCAACGGCTGCTGCGCATTGACGCGCGCCGCGGTGTCCGGTTGAATATCCTTCGTTGAGATAGCTAGAGACACCAAGTTTACAGGGTCACTTAACCTGCATATGAGCTCACTTATGTCTAAATTTGAGGTTCCTTGGTCATGGCCTTGAGGTCAAACAAGGTCGAACAAGGTTATACCACAGATAAGTGTCCAAAGTGCCCTCAGACCTCCTCACGGAACCACCGTGAACATAGATACCTGTTCTAAGCAAAACGCCAATGGTGATCATTTAAGGCTAGTGACCTTGTTTGGCTTTCAAAAGGTCAAGGTGATCAAAAGACTATGATATTGCTGTTATTTTTCATCTAAATAAGCGTTAGGGATTACGCTATGTGTTACGTTTCTCAAGGCAAAACCTTTGCCAAGGTCACTTTCCTTTAGCTGCCTAATCTGATCTTTAAAAAGTTCATGGAACATATTTGTTTCGATCCCGGTTGCAAATAAATTTAAAATGAGCTTCAAAAGCTGTCTCCAAAGCAAGCTGTCGAGCAAAAAGGTGGGTTATTTTAGACACCGGTCTGGCCTTTATGCCTGAACCTAGGTCAATGCACTTTTTTGTGATTCTAAACTCATTTGATGCATTGCTTAAAACTGTCCCAAAGATGTATGCCTTCGTTTAACACTCCGCTGTCGCATCAGATTGAACAATCTCTAGAAATTCCCTTCGCTGACAGCCAAGGCCTTTTGCCTTATAAGTAACATATACTGTTTTATGTCAAAAGATCCGCTATCCAACTGCCTGCAGCCATGCAATTTGGCGCGGCTACGCCGTGCCGTTCGGAAGTCATTTTGAAAAACCGTCGAGGGTCAAATTGCCCCACACAGCCGATGGAAAATCAGAATTAGGTAAAATTGTATTTCTTGCGTGCATATTGGGGGGCTGGGATGGGTTACCTCATATTGAAGTAGTATCAGTGTGCCGTATGCCAAATCTATGCAATGGATGACAGTCTTGAGTCACAGGAACTGCTATGCTGACGCACAACAGCTCTCACGTCAGTTGTCAAGTGCATTTGCGAGGAACATCATGCATATGTGTAGATCAGACAGAGCTAATAGCCCGATTCCCTGAAGAATAAACAGGAGAATAAAGAAATACCTAGATATCATATGTCGGCTACATGCCCTTATCGAAACGAATATCAGTAGTAAATTAAAAATTGCCTGCCGATCCTACTAGATTTTTCAGGTTTTTTCAAACAGCAAGCCTCAGTTTTTACAGGTCACCAACACTTAGGCTTGGTGGATTAAACAAGGAGCAACTGTCAGCCATTTGCAAGATGCAGTGCAAATCTGTCTAATAATTTAAATACGGGAAAAATACGTGCGCATGCAAACAAAGTCAAGTAAACATGCATCACGCATCACGCGTTAGGCATTTCTCATGCAAGAAAACGATGTCGTCATGACAAATCCATCATAATCCATCATGTCACGAATTCATCACATACATCACAAATTCAGGGAGGTACAGACCCTTTATCCCTTTTGAGTTTAAAGACATGTACAAAGCACATGACCATCCAGACAGGAAAATAAGGGGATCTATTCTAATAAGAAATCGGCCACCAGACCTTAACGTACATGGCTCATCATGCCCCATTATGCGTATGTGATTAGTGCCTTGATGTGCGATGCATGCTGGCTTAAAATCGCTTACATGTATGAGTGGTGTGACGTGCGATGCCTGTTTAATTGAAATCGTTTGCATGTGTAAGTAATGTATGGTGCGCAATGCCTACTCACCCGAAGTCGTTGCTTGCAATCGCATGCGTTTATGAATGATACGTTATACATGGTGCCTGTTTGCTTTAATTCTCCTGCGTGTACAAATATTTTCCGCGTATTTTACGCGCATTTTACACGTACACGTTCCATACGTTGCGTTTACACGTATATGCATTTATCACTTCATCGGACCTAATTTTCGGATTGTCTGGTACATACTATGTGCACGAAAATCAGGTGTGACCTCATGACCACACATGATCTCTGATCAGGTGATCCCACATGACTTCTCATTACATATGTAACATCACATGACCTCTGTTAAGGTGACATCACTTGACCTCTGATTATAATCAGATGTGACCTCACATGACCTCTGATTGTGACCAGGTGTGACCTCACACGATCTCTGATTATGATCCACTCTGAGGTCCTATATGCTAAGGAAGATTTGTCAGCATGTCGTTGACGTGTTGACAACGGCCAGCATCCTACGCCAGCCCCACTTTCTATTCCAGATCACTTATCGTCGCGCTTGAAAATATGTGCGTCTTGGCTGAGGTTTAGTGTCCTATCAGTTCAGGAGTTCCGACTACCGCTGCCAAAACTGCATCGCGTTCGGAGGATCCCGCTGCCGGTCCCTGTCGCGTGTAAAGTGGACCGATCTCTGCGTGCTTGCAGGGCGCGCTCGTGGCAGCGATGCACGTGCTTCGCTAATGGATCTGACCCGGCTTGGGGATGACTCAGCAGTCC